GTCCTGATATTTTCATCCAACGAACTGGTTACAGTCCACGTGAAAACGACGGTCTGTCGAGAAAGCACCGAATTACAAAGGACAGCGCAAAATAGTAAAAAAGTTCAAAGACAGCGCGCGCATGTAAAAAAATCCCCGTTGAACATACGTGTATAATATATATATGTATATATCAGCGAGCTTAAAAATGATTTTGTGAAACCATTTAGACAGATCGCAGTTTTAAACGGAAGGTTTACGAGCTTATTACACGTGCTCCATTTGTCGCTGTATTTAAGCTTATCGTCTTACTTGTTAGATACAGATACCTTATTAGTTTCATAGAGATAACTCGTGCGTGTACCGTTATTATTATATATATATTAGAGTGTATATATGTACTTTTTTTGTTTTCTTTATGTATATGCATTATATTATTATTATTATTATTATGTTATATTATAGTTATTATATATTATATATCACTAGCACTAGGTGAGTGAGAACAAAACGAAAGGTTCTTTTTCTATTCGTGAGATTTCTTCCTCGTTCACCTAGTGCCCAACGCTTTGTAAAATAACTTACAACTGTTCTCATATACATATATTATATCGGTGTAACTTTTTTTGTAATAACTTTAAGTGGACCCCAACGGTAGTCGAACGTGCACGCCAGCGCGTCGAGAAGAGTTTCCTTTTAGGCTGCAACATTGATCAGTGAAGTTTCGGTTATTGTTCTACGAAAGAAACGAAGTACAGGATATATGTAATAATTAACGCTGTGTGACAGAACGCTTTCCGTTGACCCTTTCGATTTTTCCATCGTGCTAGATAACACCGCTAATATGCGTCCAACTCGACGTGCGGTCTTTTCCGATAAAAACTCTTAAACGACGATAAAATTTGCAAAAGTGTCAGATGAAAGACTTGACTTGTTCTTCGTTACGTGAAATTAATACGCATAATAATAATTCGAGAGAAGGACAGTTGTTTGTATTCGTAATACAAATGTTCACTCTGTATAGTTTGTATCGGTAAATTTGAATATGTTAAAATACAACATGGTGACTCGTAAAATTCTTAAACAGTTGCGAATCGCGTAATTTAACATTAAAAGATCATCGTGTCTGCTTTTGTCCACTGTCCTTTTTCTACGAGACGTTCGTTAAAAAATTTAGTTTGTTTTCCTCAATTGTCCATCTTCTCGACACACGGGCACAGAAGAATTTGTAACTATTTTAAGTATAAATATTGCAGTGTAAATAGATAATTTAAATATCTGTTACTCGAAAGACACATCTAGATCGCATTTTTACGTTTGCGTCGTAAGATCATCGGAATTTACTCGCTACGGTTTATCCCCCCCCTTTACCTTTCTCATTTTTTGAAAATTTTCCCTCGGAAAAATAACATCGAAGATGGGTGCAGGTGCTGAGTTACATTTATCGACAAGGTGTAAAATACTCATAGCGACGTTCCGCAAACTTTTTCCATCGTTCCTCCATTCGGTACACTCTTTACCCGAATCGAACGCGTATAATAATCAGTTTTCTCACGTTACAAAGCTCTTCGAGTAAGATGCGGGTTGAAATAACAACATATACGTCTACAAAAGTTATAATTTTCTTGCTACCTTATATTCCCCCCATCGTGTTGCCACTCTTTTTTACCTACGGATAGGCACGCGATTTTTTTTTTTTTTTGTTAGCTTTCTCTCGTCGTATTTCACGAAACATCATCCGAACACACCTGTTCGATGATGCTAAACAAGTAAGTAAGTCTTTTTGAGATCAAGTTCACCGAGGAAATCAAATTCTAAACGGTCTAACGAGATCGTATCAATCCACGATGTTATTTGTGTCGCGGAATTAAGAAACGTCCAAAAGATCAAACGCGAAATATTCGTAACGGCAGCGAAAATTTCGTACTTCAGTTCTGTGTGTGAACAAACAGGCGAATATTTCGTTGCCGCTGCCCCTGTATACGTATACATATTTCGCGTTGACATGGGAGTTCCCTTATTCCCGTCGTGTATTGAAATTTGGAAATCATACGATTGAATTTTGTCAGATTACAGAACGACTTCTATAAACGTCTAATTGGTCGAGACAGAAATTTATCGATAACGATAACGATACACATATAAAAATCAATCTAACAATTCTATGGAATATTAATGTGTTACGGTCATTCTAAATACCACATTTGTTTGTTTCTTTTTTTTTGTTCGCAAAACGACCACAGTACTGTTACAATAGGCCTTGTACAAACGCGATTGGTCGAGACAGAAGGTTCTCGCGAAAGGCAAAAAGTTTCAAGACAGAGGTAGAAACTTATCGTGAACTGTAAACTGTACTTCTACGATCGGTATTTTATCAATGTATCGCGAACGATCGAAAGAACTTCGTAAGAAAATTAGTAGTTTATTTACATCGGTTTGTAAATGAACGAACTACCTACTGTGTAAAACACGATGGCGTTGAAATATTTTTTCTCTCTTTCTTTTCTCTTTTAATAACAAACGATACAGTATTGTTTTCAAAGAAAAATATCTCTTCGTCATTTGGAATTCTTGTATATGTGTATAGTATAGTACCTTTACTTTTTCATCAAAGTGACTTTTTGATTTAGAACGAGTAAATTTTCCATTGAAGTTTCTTCGATCTTACGACATCGAAATTATCCAATGCCAACAGATAGAAAATTGTTGAACAACTATCGGGAAAGAAACAAACTAAATTCTCTTTCGTAGACATGTTTCAAATTTCACTTTCTCAACTTTCGCTCGCTATGAACAACAGTTCTCATGTTCGATGATACATTACACGGTGTAGTAAAGTATACTTTCTGATAAAACTTTTGTGCCCTGGGTTTGAGAGATGCACATACAGGATGGTCCATATATCATAATCGTCTAAAATATTAAATGTAAAATTTCTTTCTTAAAAAACTAATATTCAAGGATTACCTATTCTCAGAGAATGGATGCAAGCCTCGTTTTGTACACAACGATAAGAGAACATTTTTCAAATGTATTCCTGAAGGTACGTTTTACAGTCAGATTAATTTTCTAATTAAAACCCGTTAATTGCTTGTCGTACATTATTATTACAAATTTCAGCGAATGCGATGATTTTCTTACAGCGTGACATTAAAATGACAAGTAATTACAATAATCTATGATGTTACAGACCATTCTGTATATTAAAATAACGTAGAAAATCCTTAAGTAATAAAAATTCGATAAAAATTTTCGACAGCGATTCATTTTTGAAATTCGAAAGATGTCTACGACAGTTTTCGTTTGCAAAACTACCGACACTAGGCCAATTCCTTTAGATTCCTAACACCTTTAACATCCTATCTTATCTTAGAATTTGCATTTTCACACAATACATGCGTGTGTTAATGTATAATGATTAACGCATGTACTAAACTACAGCAGAACATAGCGTTAAGAAAGAAGGATGTTCGAGAATGTACGGATACAATTATTTCGTACTGTCTTAAAGTGCAACTGAATCGTCTAAGTAGTTAGTTACTCTGAAATTGGCACGTAAAATCATACTTATAACCTTTTCATCTAATTTTCACTATCGAATTCAAAGAGCGTTACTCGGATCATCTATTAAATTCATTCGAACATTTTCGTTCATCGCAATTTTTACCCTTTTTTCAGCTTTTTCTTTTTCTTTATCTTTCAATAAACTGCCATCTACATATTTTCACGAGATTCTTCTCTTCTTACGTACGACTGCAAAGATTCGTAGTTCTTATTCTCTGTTTCGTTATGCTCGTGCGTAGAACGTTCCGATTTTAGTCACATGAGAAATATACATACAATGCGTCCTATCCTATGTATATAACGTGTGTGTTTCTTTTTGTACAGAGCTTTCTTCGCTTTTCGAAAATGAAGAAGTTCATCTTTCACAGTAACAACGAACCGTATTCGATTGCGTGCAGGGTGTTCGATTGGAAAATTACTTCACGTCTGAGTATATCTTCGTCATTGTGGAGGTAGAATGTTCAAGTTGGTTCTCTGTTATTACAAACTTCTAATTTTCTCAATTCATTCAAGTCCACGTTATTACATGTAATTCAATGGTAACATCGTTTCGATACAATAACAGCTAGATATCAAAGGAATTAATTACATTTCTCAATTCTTGGATGAACACTCACGAAGAGAGTCCTTGTTTAACGAGACACCGGAGAAATTTCATCTCAATTCCTTAACTTCTCGATAAAAAAAAAAAAAGAAGAATTGTAACAACGAGTGTTCCAAGTAAAATTTTCCAAATTTCACGTATCGTACAAGAACCAACAAGAAGATAACGTACAAGAAGTTCACAAAGATAACATAAAAATGCCACGTCGATCGAGTGATATCTTCTCGTGAAGGTACGATAAGAAAGTTGAAGAAAGAAAGGATTCGTCGCGTTCCAATTTCTCTTCAACGAATCCCTCGAATCTCCCCCAACAATTTGCATCTGCAAGCAACCGAACTGTCGCGTATAATATTTTCGGATAGCTCGTTTCTTCTTCGTTCACGTAAGGTTAAAACATCGGCAAACATATCGGCGGTCGATAAAGCAGTATTGTGGCCAGATAAAGCTCGAACACCCAGTAGACAAGATAGAAAAGTGCACTTTCCTCAGCCGACGTTCCAAGCTGAGTACACGTTACGCATTACACGTCGACAATATTATATATACATATAGTATATAGTATATATAGTATTGTACAATAAATGTATGTATATATATATATGTGTATATATAGACTAGAAAGTTACAAAAGATAAAAGAATCGAGTATAATGTACACGTACAGACTGTCCTGGGAGATGGACACATCTCCAACGGTTATCTCTCTTTCTCGTTTTACTTTCCGAAAGTTTTATCTATACTTAGCCATTCCTCCCCCTTCTTTCCCACCCTTTCTAACGTTCTTTCTTTCCCTCTTTTCTTTCTCTCTCTCTCTCTCTCTCTCTCTCGTTAATTTGGTCTGCGACGCCTCGGGAGTTTCTCTCATTCGGCGGATGTACTTTCATCGCCGACTAACTGGATCCGGTTAATTGGGCCGGTTTTCTGACGTCGTCAATCATTATTAGGCCTCGTCGGAGTGAGAGCCTTGAGAGCTGCGCTTCTTCTTGTGGTTGCCGTGATGATGGTGATGATGATGGTGGTACTGTTGATGATGATGCTCGGTGTGCATCAGCGCGTCGGTTTCCGGCTGATTCTGATGACCGACCAGAAGGTCCAGCGTGCCTCGGGGAAGTCCAGTCTGATCGGTGACCGGCGGCGGAAGTGGAGTGGCCACAGGCGACTCGGTTGGCAATGGCATGCAGTGCAACACGTAACATCTCACGCCAGCTAAAACGATACCTGAAAATTCGGCGATATTTGTCAGAATGATTTATAGGATTGATCGTGCTACGGTGAAAGTTCGCGCTCGTTAATTGCACTCGTGTGCTGTCTTTTCTTATTCTACTGGAGAATTAAATAACGCGCGTATGGATATCGAGATTGACAATTTCTATTCTCGACGAGTAGCATTTACTGTCAAGGCTATTTTCATGTAATTGAAGTTGGAAAATTGAACGTAATTGATAAAGGAACGCATCACGAAGTGATTATCACCGATATTGATCGAACTTTGGTATACGATGATATTCAAGAAAATATTTTGGGCGTATTTTTTTTATTGGCTGCCGTTCATGTTGAAGAGGAAAATCGTGAAACATATTTGACAGAAATTGTTCATTTTTTGTTTTCCTAATTTGTTTTGAAAAACTTACAAAATTCGTCAGTTTACAGTATTCCTCCGTCTTTAACAATTTTCCAGATATTTTACTAAATGTATATTTACTACCCCTAACTTTAAGCGTGATTTTCACCACTTCGTTGTAAACGATTGCCGAGATAAAAGAACACGTGTCGAATATTCCTTTGAGAACTACTGTGTACCAAAGTTTCACCAAAATCGGTGATTATCACTTGGGGATGTTCCTTTATTAGCTTTAGTTTCGTCGAAAGTATTTCGTGAAAGGTTGAAATATACACGTAGATGGATTAAGTTTACAATAGAATGTATCTGTTTTTAAATACAACAGTTTGTAATTTTGAATGCAAAATGGTAATTCAATTCGTTGATTATTTTCCATGCTGCGAGAAGGTTCTATTCAATACCTGATTGCTACAAATTTCACCGAACGTTGAATAATTATTAACAGGTTTTTTTTTTTTAAAGAAATGGAGAATTATAGGGAGCAGCTGTTTAATTATGTACCTTTATAATTCACAGTAAAAAGGAATTTTCGTGTAACTTCGTAACAGTAGCGTTTAAAAAAATAAAGCATGCGAAGAGATACATCAAATGTCTGACTAAATACTGGGATTAACTACTGCCGTGCTGTGCGTATGATATACGAAGTCTTCTGATTTCTGAGTTAACGAGTTAATTTTTCACATAAAATATAAGCTGTTCAATATTTATAATTCACGTTGCAATGCAATTTTCGTGTAACAGTTACGTTTCTTTGAAAAAAAAAAGTAAAGCATACGAAGAGATACATCAAATGTCTGACTAAATACCGGGATTCACTACTGTCGCCCTGTACGTACAATACGTAAAGAAAAAACTTTTTGATTTATGAGTTGACGAGTTCATTTTCCACGTAAAATTTAACTTATTAAATTACACTCACTTTTCACATTCTTCATATATTTCACTATTTATACACTTGATATTCGAAATTTTACATAAATATCTAATTATCGAACTTCTCGCTGGACCGTCTTTCCAACGATATTTCACTACACAATTTGTCCAAGGTATCCGATATATACATACTGGAAAATTCGGATTTGCCGACTTAAGCCCCGTATAACGAGGAAAACAAGGTTCAGCGGTTTACGTTATAGTAATTTCCATAGACCGGTGCTTGTAATTAGTTTACTGTTACCGGAATTCGATCAAAATTTGCAACGACAAATTTTCAGCCATCGTATCGATATATTTCGCGTTAATACTGTATAATTAATACGTCTCTATAATGTACTTTGCGAATTTAATTCCGGCCCGGTTGCTTTATCCGCGAGTTTACGAGTTAAGGCCACGCGCCCGTTCGTTGTATCGGTGTATATGAATTTCATTGGGAAACTTTAATGAACATGCAAATGTTATGAGGCTTCTTGCTATTGCATCCAAGAAACATTTATATGGATGAACGTGAAGCAACACTTTATCACGTTGGGTAAATATTGTAGGAAAAGGGAAATATCGTTGAACAGTATTTGTTCTTTTTTTTTACGACACCACTTAACGTTCCCTCTTCCCTTCCATTAATTTTATTACGCTTCATTCGATACGTATTTTTCAACGTGAACAGCTGGACAAACAGAGAAATTTCTTTCCAACAGTTTTCTGCTTTCCGAAGCTATTTACCCAGCTGAGTGTAATATTTTCAATAATCAGTGTATACAGAAAACTGTAACAAGTAAAAATTACAAATAACAGTAGGAGATGGTAGAATGTTTCACTGGACAGACATTGAATCGATGAAAATCTCTAACATCTCGGACAAATGAAAATGACAAATTACGAGGAAAGAATAAAAAATAAATTTTAGTTTACTTCGTACGAATGATTGATGAAACAGCGAAAAGGCGATCTGTTCTTCGTATCGAAGTGGAATTTCTGTTTCTAGAGTGTTAGTAGACGTGTTTTTATATTTGGTGACGTAGAGAATCTTAGTAATCGGTGATTTCAACCTTTCGCGAAAAGATTATTCGCGGTCTGGATGGTTTTCTTTTTGGGTAAATCAAAGGACAGCCATCACTTTTATTCGGGCCGCGAGGCCAACTGACAGTAACTTGGTTACCCTGAATGGATAGCTCGCAGCAATACGATTAGGCCATAAAGTCTCTTAAGACGTGAAATTTCTTTTCAAGCTGGTTCGTATTGCCTCTGCATTGTCTCGTATTTCATTGGCCACTATGGAATAAATAAAATACATTTATATGTGTAGTTAACTGTGTTCTCGGTTAGCAATCATGTACATATCCATGGGAATAGAAAAAGAATTCAGGGAGATAGGTACAATATATCTTTGAAAATATGCGATCAATTGTAACACTTTCATTTCTGTGCATTATTATTGTATGTATTTATTCATTTTCCTTGGTACTGTGTTGTACCACTGCAATGATGCGGTGAATTTTTGTCGGTGCTTGAAAAGCATTTTCAATGAACTTAAATGCTAGTTAACGAACTCTTGAAATGTTGCAAAAGTGTGTTATTATGATTGAGTTTATTGCGTTTACGAGTTTCTCACTCGTAGCTACGCGGTCGCGAAGTTCGACGATTACGGAATTCAAAGTTGCGGAAGCTAGGACTGTAAAAGCGCAAATTTACGGAACTCCGAAAGAAAACGTTTTAAGAACAATTTTCCTCTTTATTGAAATCCAGCAGAGAAGGATATAATAAACTCTGATCAGGTGCCTCAATTTTCGACTGAAGAAAATTCTAAATTAATCTTGTTACTTTTTCCCCATTTAGTAATTGTAATTCGAAATTGGCCACAAGTGTGTAAATTGAGAAATATCGAGCAAATATTGAATTTCTCTTTTTTTTTTTTAGAAAAAAGTACTGTACAGAAGTACTTGAAATATTCTGTTACAACAAATAAATGCAAAATATTTATAAAATATGTGTACCAATCGAGCAAACAAGTTTCTGTACAAACGTGACGATACAATATCACCGAGTACCCTTAAAAATTCACAATGTCCACGTGAAAGGACACTCTTTTCTTTTTATGTGCATTTCGACAAAAGAAGCGAACTAACTCTTGATTCTTAACTCGCATCAATATTTTCTTACTGCTTCTACGAGCGTTTAAATTATTCAGAATTACCCCGCTTACTACATCCAAATGCTCGACCATTCTTTTCTTTATGCATTTCACGCGAATCAAACGGGGCAAATGGCGAAACGTATCGTCCCCTTGACCTACTATATCCAGCGAGCATCCGTCAAAACCCGATCGTTCTGGCAGAACTTCAGGATTCCCCTGGTACGGTTTCATGGACTGAGAAAAAGTGGCTCACCTAGGAGAAGCATAATACTGCCTGCTATGAGCAAAGCGAGTCTATGGTCGGTGGTCGTCGCACCCGGGGCAAGTTGGACTAAACCAACGACTAGCACCACTGCGCCCAACAATAGGCACACCACCACCGCGTGTAGCCCCGATATCTGCGAACGACAATGTTCATGTTAAGTCATTTCCAACGGCTAACAACCGTGTTACGAATTATCCTTAGGTAATTCTACGTCTGTGGTTCCTGTAAGTTACTCCATTTCCAGGGAACGTTCCTTCTTTCTTTTTTTTTTTCGTTTACTCCGAAAACCAGCAATTGAAACTGAAATTTTTTTTTTCATTAAAAAAGAAAAACGAGTTTTGGGTGACTGTGATGCTCTAATTTCAATGTTTGTATATTTGTGCGATTCTCGTGTTTCGTTTCTTCCTGTTTCAATTGAACAGCTATTCGGATATTTCCGGGTAAACGATCCACATTTTTTCCAATTTTTCTGGAATACGTGTGTCACAGGATTTCCCGAAATTCGATAAATTGCAAGAGCTACGAGGCTTCCAACGACTCGAGACCTTCGGTGAACCTACTTAGTACGCAATTTATCTTAATAATACTCGTTGAATTTAACGAAATACTGTTTGCGGTAAAAAAAAAAAAAAAGGGAAAAAATGTAATTCTGCGTTTCTTCGTGCAATCTTCATAAACCACGACCGTCTCCGATCTCATTAATACTCTATAGAGAAGGTGCACGAACTCTTCACGAGAAACGTGGTATAGAATATAACGCAAGGACACCGGTCGAACGTTCGTTGTATCATTAAGCGTACCGCGATGCGTTGTGCATGTTCACCCTCGAGATCAATAAATAGTCGCGTTAGCACGACGAAGGCCTGTCATTGCAACCTATGTGCATACGTACAAGTAGATACGCGATTTGTAGACAAAGAATTACCTTGTAACAGAGATACCACTCGGGTAAAGACTCCAGGTGGCCGTTCTGGCCATGGGGGCTAGGGGTGGGCGGCGAGCCTTGAGGCGGTGGCATCCATTGGCCCCCTAGGTAAAGCTGACTGGGACGTTTTAACCTTTTCTCCTGTCGTTTACGTTCGTGGCGAACTGCCACTGCTGGCATCGCACCGATCATCCTGCAAAACAGTCGTCGAGCGTCAGCGAGTTGAAACAAAGAGAAACGCCATAGGTTTTGGTAGAATTTCCAAATTCAAAGTGTCCCCATTATTTGAAATTTTCAACATTTTATTTTTTGTTTCGCACCATAGGCACGCTTGTGCTAATCGACAATCTTTACGGTTTTTTCAACAGAATGGCAGGAATCGTGTCAGCCAGTGGGACACTTTTTTTTTTTGTAAGGGACCTACTGAATAATTTATAATTCCGTCAGTTTCGACTATTTTCACTTAGAAAAAATGACGAGTGTTCTTGAAAGCTGGATAAATATGTGTGCAAAAATTGGTACTGAAAAGTCTTGTGGTTACTTTGTAAAATAATCTGTAAGAGAACGTAGAAAAATGACACTCTATGAGAAATCACGAAAAAGCACAATGTTGCAAATGGAGAGATCGCGCTCGCAGCTTTGTTGCCGAGAGTCGCTCCCGAAAACTGCACATTGTTGCAAACGCGTTATCGGGTCTGCAACTTTGTTGTCACAAATCGTTCCTGAAAATCGCACATTGTTGCACGACGCCCCGTTTTGCAACATTGTGCTTTTCGGGAGCGCCTCCTGGCTACAAATTTGCAAGCACGATCTCCTGTTTCCAACTTTTTTACGGAGAGTGGCTCCCGAAAACTGCACATTGTTGCAAACGCGTTATCTGGTTTGCAACTTTGTTGTCGAGAAAATTGCACATTGTTGCAAACGCGTTATCAGGCTTGCAACTTTGTTGTCCCGAAAAATCGCACATTGTTGCAAAACGGGGCGTCGTGCAACAATGTGCAATTTTCTCGACAACAAAGTTGCAAGCACGATCTCTCTTTTTGCAACTTTGTTGCCGGAAGCCACTCCCGAAAATCGCACATTGTTGCAAAACGGGGCGTCGTGCAACAATGTGCAATTTTCTCGACAACAAAGTTGCAAGCACGATCTCTCTTTTTGCAACTTTGTTGCCGGAAGCCACTCCCGAAAATCGCACATTGTTGCAAAACGGGGCGTCGTGCAACAATGTGCAATTTTCTCGACAACAAAGTTGCAAGCACGATCTCTCTTTTTGCAACTTTGTTGCCGGAAGCCACTCCCGAAAATCGCACATTGTTGCAAAACGGGGCGTCGTGCAACAATGTGCAATTTTCGAGAGCGTATCGGAGCAACAAAGTTGCAATACGGTGCCCCGTGCAACAATGTGCGTTTTTCGAAAACGATTCGCGGCAACAATGTTACAGACTCGATTACACGTTTGCTACAATGTGCATTCGAAAATAATACGAGTTGACGATGTTACAAGCGAGAATGACGCTTGTAACAATGTTACATTCAAGCGTAGTGCTTGTAATGATGTTTGCGTTCGAAATAACGCTTCTAATAATGTTGCATTCAAAAGTAACGCGTACAACAATGTTTTGCACTCGAAATAGTGCTTCCATCGATGTTGCATTCGAGAATAGAGACTGCAACAATGTGTGCATTCAAGTTTCAACGATAAACAGTGAAATAAAAGTATCTTGCTACTTAAAAATCACCGTTCAACAATGTAAAATTTCTTTTCCTGCTCGATCAATTTGCAACCTCAACTCACACGGGAACAAAGGCTCCGCACAAACGAAACGTCATTATACATTCTCAACATATTTCTCCACCCCTATAAATAACCCCTCTACATAGAGTAGAATAGTCCCCTAACATCGATACTTAGTTTTTATAATTTTGCAGGCTGTGTAAAAATTTGTCAATCCTGAATAAAGACCTGAATTCGCCTACGTTTAACAATTTCTCCAAGAATCAAGAGTACGATTTTAAGATATAATTTAAAATGTAATTTTTTTCTAAATTGAACACTTACCATAGAAAAATGTCGTATCGAATGCTATAATTTATGTACCCCATACATCCCACGTGTGAAAGCATTTAACGCGTGTCGACGAATCTGTTTGCCCCGATTCCCGAAGTTTACACAAGATTTCACCGTTTATCTTCAATATGCGACACGTAAAAATGATACGTCATATTTCAGTGGAACGAGTGATGATAACAAGAGGGATTAGTTTACATCTACTCCCGCTACGCCTGATAATACGATAGCTCTATCTTTTACAGCCTATACGATATCAACGACAAATCATTTCTCTGCTATTCTCCCCACATAGATTACACTTTAACTCGTGTAATCCTGTGACAAATGTTGTACACCATAAGTGATACAAGTTAAGGCTAAATCATGCAATCAATACATTATTAAAAAAAAAAAAAAGTTAAATTTCAAACAGGCGTTCAAGAGAGATTTAATACGTGAAATTTTCATCAACGAATTTACATAATTACAAACAAACGAATAATGGTTGTTACGTTTAAATGTATTACACCTATTGTCGTCTTATTAACGGTCTCGATAATTTACTTAACGATATGTATAAATAAATATTTTCAATATCCAGGTGTATTATGTTATAAACGTGAATTCTAATAACCATTCGTTACGAACAACTGCAATAAATAAACCGTTTCTCATTTTTGTTCATTTCAACAATGAGAACCGCCCACAGTAGATTACTCCATAACTGGTCAGACATAACGACTAGCAACGAGGTACAAATCCCTGCAAGCATCTCATCTACTGGAGCAGCTTCATGATATACGAAATTATACCGCAGAATAACAGGCAGGTAATGATTATTCCTATTCATGTCGTTAATATTTTTCAAAAATTCGTAAGTAAATTCTCGTAATTTTAATACTTTTGTAACATTTCGTATTTTTAAACGAGACTTATGTAGCGATATAAATGTAGAATACACATTGGTGTTCTATCGTGACTAACAGTAACGTTGAAAACAATTTTCAATTCATTTAAAAAATTGGACAAGTGAAAACGTATTAAAATCCATTCTTCAATTTGTCAAAGAAAAATCTCTACGAGGAATGCAGGCAGCAGTATATTTGTAATATAATAAAACACATCTACAAGAACCAGTTTTATTCTTTAAGTCGTATCGCCGTCAATAACTAGAAACAGTAATACAAATAAAAATAACCTATTTAAATTTTCACACTTGATGTTTTCCTTTCGAAAACAAGTATCCAACGAGAAAATTATCGCATTCCACGTTTTCACCATATTTTTTCCCACGTGAAATCATCCTCCAACATGGTCGGCACCATATTTCCCCGATTCGTTTATTAGAAAAACAGAGTCTCGCTAATTATCCGAGAAATTCATATTCACAGCTGCGTGCAAGTGCCTGTGTCCCATAAAATTTGCCTTGGCTGAATGTTCAAGTTAGGTGCACACTTTTCAGGTTCATTTTGCAGGAGAAAAGGCTTTTAAGAGACTCGATGGCACGTTAATTGGCCTAAAAACGTCCGAGCAGCGAGGTTTCGATTTTGACGAAATGTTCGTTGAACAGAGTACGGAATGGCTGGCGCACTTTCGGCGAGTTCGTGAACCAGGAGACGCTATGAACTTTAGTGACCCCAGATGACCCCGTCGGTCGATACGTCACTACATCCACCCCCTTCGCCCTGCTGGCCCACCAGCCGCAGCTCGAACGTAGCCCGGTTCCATGGGGTTGCGCGGAATCGACGTTAAAAACGAGGCTACGATGCTTTTAATCGGGCTACGTGTATATCTTCCCATTACCAGAAATCCCGGAGATCCTTGTTAACAGAGTGAACACACGGGTAGACGATAAATAAGAGATACCGCGCCGGTGTTGCCATACTGCAGGCGTTTTCGTGACATTTGCCCTTTCCACGCTGCTGCTCTTCCTCAGGATTTCGAATTATTAGGTTGTTGTATATGAAATGCTCGATACGAGAATTTCCTTCACCACTGTCTAAGATAGCTCGTATTAAATTATTGCAGGTACAGTTACTCGCTAAAGTATTCGAACACTGTATAAGATTGTGTTCTTTGTGGTGTATTTTGGTTAATTGTAGTTACGAAACGTCGTTTAGTGTAATGAATAAAATATAGATAGACGGATGTGTAAGTTCCAAGGCACGTGGCGATATAAAAGGTTAAACAAACGCTGGACAATTATCCAAAATCAAGAAAATTACAAAAGAAATCAAGTTTTCTCCTTTTTCAACCCCTTGACATATGATTTCTTTTCCTGACTGTGCATCTAAGCGTCAGCCATTTTCTATTTCAGTACTGTATCAAGTAAGATAAACTAATGTATCATAGATTAATTAAATTTGCTAATCTTCAGTTTTATAAATTAAACGGAAAATTAGAAATGAAATTAATTTTTGCTACTAACACAACTGTCTTCGTCACATCTTGACCAGAATCTGTGTCACTAGTCTGAGTCGTTACAAGGCAAGGAGTTAACGAATAAAGTGTAGATAAACGGACGTGTAACTTCCAAGTCAGATCGCGATACAGAGGGTTAAACAGAGAAGAATCAGGGTTAGAGTGAGTCGACGATGTGGCATTACATCGTATTATCTAGGTGTAAAGTTATCGATACTCCAACAGCTTTGTTCTTGTTCCAACAATGGCGGACACACGATATCGACGGTTGCTTAAAAAAAAATCTCGACGATTTTCTAAAACGAAAGAAAGGAACAAAGGAGGCTTTATTTCGATGGTTAACTACTGACAATTTCCGTCAAATTAACCACTCGAAAGGGATTACGTGACTTTCGATCATCAGTCTGTTCTCTCCGTTCTTCGAGGCAGCTAAGAAAAATTTGATAAATTACGATATTACGAGAACTTTTCTGCCTTAGCTGCATCGAAACTTCCACCTTTCCTATCTTTCTGTCGAACAGTCGAACTTTAAATTATTAAATAGCGAGCTTTTAATTTAGTAAAAAGGAATTTGTGCGTTGTAAAATAACTGTGTTTTTCATTTCGCTGTAAATAAAGCGTCTGCTGAATAATAAAATGCTGTGTTCGAAGAAGCCAAGTTTACTCCAGGAGAAGTATTCCATCCTCTGTTTTCTTTTCTATTTTTCTCGGTAAAATAAGCA